TGTACTACTTTTACGAACTGCTTAATGTAGTGACCAACCAGTGTACTACTTTTACGAACTGCTTACTGTAGCGACCAATCAGTGTACAAATTCTGTGAATATTGTGCTGACCAATTTGCTACAAGTTTTAAAATATTATTGTAAATCTCCATCCAGTGTATAGTATTAAAAACTAGAGTAATCAGTTATATTTTAACGTAAAAATGTATTTCAGGGTTAAAGAAAACTGAATGAATATAATTATGTTGTTTTTATCGCAAGGTAAATGGAAAGGCGGAAATTGTGGTTTACAAGTTAGCGGATTTTTTTGTAAAAGTCCAAATGCTGTTCGCCCAACATCGAGACCAACACCCCTTCCCACACCGATTCCTGGAAACTGCCCTGAAGATTGGTCTGGTTATGGTAGGTGTAACGTGACCAATTATCATAAATTTAATTTTTTAATAAGCTTAGTTAATTTTAGTGTGGATACGTGCATGGGAAAAGTTTATTTCTCAAAATAAAGAGTTTGATAATTTCTGACGAATTTTTCTATTAAGGAAGAAACATTTTATATCATGAAATGTATCAAACTGTAGCTACACGTGTATACCGGCAACTCTTAGAGGAATCGAAACTCGGATTTTAGCGTCCTAAATCTAAACTTACCGTTGTCCTACAGGGAAACTGTCTTTAGAGTCTTCAAAAGCATAAAAAACGACACACACGAGCTATCTACGCTGTGCTTGCTGCGGAGATCGAACCTCGAATTTTAGCATTATAAGCCTCAAAACTTATCGCTGAACCACAGGAATACTACATAAACAATTTGACGGTTCTTTAAATGTTTTTCCTGGATATGAGATTAAGAACTTCGGTAATATATTCTAGCACAGTTAATTATTTTTTATTATGGCAATGCTGTCCTGTTCAGCAGTAAGTCTGGTCTCTAAATATTGGATTCAATCCCTGCGGTTGGCACAGCGCAGGTAGCCCATAGTGTAATTTTGAGGTTAACTTTCAGTATTGCTTCTTCCCAGACAAGAGAACTTTCAGTATTGTTTCTTACATTTATGTCTGTCTTAATTAAGTAACATAATTGTTTTGCAGTAGTGTTTACAAATAACTAAAACAGACAAACAATTTTATTGATTACTTTAGATTTTTTTCGTTAGTAGTTCTTAAAGCAACCACTTTAATCTTCAATATTTTCTCATATAGGAGACAAGTGTTTTTTGTTTCAAGGAGATTCAGAAGACACAAAACTATCCTGGCGAGAAGCACTCAAAAGTTGCAGGAGTATAGGAGAGAGCCACGATCTAGCATCTATTCACAGTACAGGAGAACAGAGTAGGTCTAACATCGTGAAAGAGTTTTTTTGTTATTAATAAAATCTTTTGACCAGGTTTATTGTAAGAGAGTTATATTACATTACATTCTTACAATAGCTTTTGTTTAAAAAAATCTTCGAAATCACAAATATAGTGTGAATAATATTTTATTAAAATCCGGGCCCTTTTTTTTCACAGCTTTTATTTAAGAAGGATTTCTCATTACATTAAAATGTTCACCCTATTTTTATTATGTATTAGCCACCGTAAGCTCAGTGGTAAATATGAGGGCTTATAACGCTAGAAATCAGGGTTCGATACGTGCAATTGGCAGAGCACAGATAGCTCATTGTGTAGCTTTTTTGGAGCAACAAATAAACTTGTTATCAGATTAAGCTATAGTCTGTAAAGTGAAGTGAATAGAAAAACTACAAGTAGAACTAAACAGATTATAAAAACTGTTGCCAGGTTTTTAATGACTTCATCATTATTATTATATTTAGGAATGTATCTTTACTAGAAAACTAACTAAATAATACGACTGTTGTTTAATACCTCAGTGTTAGATCTTCTTTCTTGGTATTGTTGTTATGAGACTGTTTCAGATGAGTGTTTCAGAGTTTTTACTTAATGCAAGTTTTATGTTTCAGAGTTTTTACTTAATGCAAGTTTTATGTTTCAGAGTTTTTACTTAATGCAAGTTTCTATGTTTCTGAGTTTTTACTTAATGCAAGTTTCTATGTTTCAGAGTTTTTACTTAATGCAAGTTTCTATGTTTCTGAGTTTTTACTTAATGCAAGTTTCTATGTTTCTGTGGTTTTACTTAATGCAAGTTTTATGTTTCTGAGTTTTTACTTAATGCAAGTTTTATGTTTCTGTGTTTTTACTTAATGCAAGTTTTATGTTTCTGAGTTTTTACTTAATGCAAGTTTTTATGTTTCTGAGTTTTTACTTAATGCAAGTTTTTATATTTGTAAAAACATCGTGATGGCAAAAAAATCGTTTAGAATTTTTAGATGAATGTAAAGTACAATTTTCTGTTCTAAGTGTTCTTGACTGCCCTGATGGGACGATACAGGAGCGCCGCCTGGATTGGGCTAAGCAAATTGGACGGTTCTTTTAACAACTTTGGCTGGTCAGACAACAGCAAGTTTGATTTTCAAGCATGGGGCCCCGGAGAGCCAAACGGTTACAGTGTAAGTTCTGATTTTGCTACGTTCTTTTCAAATTTCCCCGAGGTCTGCCAGCATTCTATAATAAAGCGGTCATTTTTGTGAATAATACGTACAAAAGTCCTTTGTCATTTTCAAGCCATTTCCTCTTTCAAAGAAAATCATTTTTGTTTATATATTGACATATACATCTAGTTCCGAGTATTGCTGGACTACTTTTATTCAAGTTCTTCGGAATTACCCGGGTTCGGAACAGCTAAAAGTTTTGGGCAATGTCAACATTAAACCTTTATTTATAATTAAAGTTTAAGGAGTTCTAAGAGGGCGCCATTTTTGTTCCGGGAAGGTAGGTTTGAAAGTTGCATTTCTTTTTCTGGAACTGTAGGTTTTGAAAATGCACTTGTTGTTCCGTGACTATAGATTTATATGGTGACTTGTTGTTCCGTGACTATAGATTTATATGGTGACTTGTTGTTCCGTGACTATAGGCTCTTAGTTACACTATTCATTCTGACTATATGTTTCTAGGATGACTTGTTGTTCCGTGACTATAGGTTTATATGGTGACTTGTTGTTCCGTGACTATAGGTTTATATCCTATAGTCACGGAACAACAAGTCACCCCAGAAACTTATAGTCACAGAACAACAAGTCACCATAAGGGCCTATAGTCACGGAACAACAAGTCATCCTAGAACCACATACTAACGGAACAACAAGTCACCCTAGAAACTTATAGTCACAGAACAACAAGTCACCATAGAAGCCTATAGTCACGGAACAACAAGTCATCCTAGAAACATATAGTCAGAATGAATAGTGTAACTAAGAGCCTATAGTCACAGAACAACAAGTCACCATATAAAACTATAGTCACGGAACAACAAGTCACCCTAGAAATATATAGTCAGAATGAATAGTGTAACTAAGAGCCTATAGTCACGGAACAACAAGTCACCATATAAATCTATAGTCACGGAACAACAAGTCACCTTTCTAGCTTTGCACAACCTAAAACACCAGAATGGACGCTGTTTATAAAACTTACTTTGTTGTTTGCTTCAAGTCTATATTCACCATTCGTTTGTTGATTTATGATATCTATGTAAAATGATATAAAAACATTTGGAAATATTTAGTGGCCAGCTTGACTAAATAGATATAACATTCTCATAGCCAATATCAGTGGCCAGCTTGACTAAATAGATACAACATTCTCATAGCCAATATCAGTGGCCAGCTTGACTAGATAGATACAACATTCTCATAACCAATATCAGTGGCCAGCTTGACTAGATAGATACAACATTCTCATAACCAATATCAGTGGCCAGCTTGACTAGATAGATACAACATTCTCATAACCAATATCAGTGGCCAGCTCGACTAGATAGATACAACATTCTCGTAGCCAATATCAGTGGCCTGCTTGACTAGATAGATACAACATTCTCATAGCCAATATCAGTGGCCAGGTTGACTAGATAGATACAACATTCTCATTGCCAATATCAGGGGACAGCTTGACTAGATAGATACAACATTCTCATAGCCAATATCAGTGGCCTGCTTGACTAGATAGATACAACATTCTCATAGCCAATATCAGTGGCCAGCTTGACTAGATAGATACAACATTCTCATAGCCAATATCAGTGGCCTGCTTGACTAGATAGATACAACATTGTCATAGCCAATATCAGTGGCCAGCTTGACTAGATAGATACAACATTCTCATGGCCAATATCAGTGGCCTGCTTGACTAGATAGATACAACATTGTCATAGCCAATATCAGTGGCCAGCTTGACTAGATAGATACAACATTCTCATAGCCAATATCAGTGGCCTGCTTGACTAGATAGATACAACATTCTCATAGCCAATATCAGTGGCCTGCTTGACTAGATAGATACAACATTGTCATAGCCTATATCAGTGGCCTGCTTGACTAAATAGATACAACATTCTCATAGCCAATATCAGTGGCCTGCTTGACTAGATAGATACAACATTGTCATAGCCTATATCAGTGGCCTGCTTGACTAAATAGATATAACATTCTCATAGCCAATATCAGTGGCCAGCTTGACTAGATAGATACAACATTCTCATAGCCAATATCAGTGGCCTGCTTGACTAGATAGATACAACATTCTCATAGCCAATATCAGTGGCCAGCTTGACTAGATAG